GCCTAAGCATGCAGTCGCCAGTCACCATTGGGGTTGAAGTGAAAACACAGGGGTAGGTAAAAGACAAATTACAGTAAACTCGGGCCGTGTTGAGTGTCTAGATATGGGTCGGTGAGGTTAGGGTGAGAATCAGGGGTGGGCAAGTAAGCGAGTGTGTATATCGGAGAGAGAGAGAGAGAGAGGGAGAGAAAAGGAGTTAGAGTGAGAGTAGGAGAGAAAGAGGGAATCAGCTTTGAAAAATATAAATCCAGATCTTTGACTCTTTCCGTTTCCTTATGCAATCTATTGCTAACGCTACCTTATCTATGAGCTTAGGTATGCAAATGCGGGGCAGTTTGCCGTAAGGATTTGCATAGAGCATCAGGGCGCCGTATAAAGGCCCGTGTCTAGGCATAATCTCGAGGCTGAAAGTCGTATTCTATACCCTTCATGCTGCATTCGTTATTACACTGTACACAGTATTATTGAATTGCATTAAAGACGAGGGTGATAACGGGGCAACGAGACGCGGTTGTTGATTCTGAGGAAGTAATATATTAATAAGAGCAAAATTATATCGATCGTATTAATTAATCGGTTAATAGGCAGGGTGGGGTCACGATGACTTTTTATTCTTCGAAGAACGATTTGAGTAACCGATTGACGGCCTATCCCAGTTAGGTATTAGACAGTCGAGTAGACAGCTGTTTGGTTATATATAACGTAACCTCTATATATCTATAGAGTCTCGAGTCTATATATAGTACGTCGCTAGACACGTATATAATACTATAGTTTATAGCAAAAGGGCGCGCCCACTCTTTATACGGGTATTTTTTTCTCACAGCACACCTGCAACTTTTCGATTAACTTTCATGACTCGCTAAGGGCTGTCCTTAGCCTCATTGACAGGATAAAAACAGGAAATTCACCAGTATCCTGTTCTGATCTTTTTTCTTTTTTGTCGATTGATCTTTTAATGGCACGACATTAATATGGCTCACGACCATCCCCCCTGTTCGTTCAATATCATTGGCCTCTTTCGAATCATTGAAAATATTTACATTGCCAATTGCATTTATGCTTCCGGTATCCGAACGCCAGATGGCGAGTGTCACTCAGCTTTTTTAAATTCTATCTTTAACGCCAGGCGTGAGCGTCGTTAGCGATGCTGATTTTTTAAAGATTTATGAAAACTGTGAGATATATCTGATCGGTTTAGTAGCTCGGCATAGGTCTTCTTGTCAGAGCTTTGGCCCGCCGGCGTGTAATTCTGGTACCGTTATAGGACTCTAGTGATATATAGGTATATTACCCAGGTGGAAACAGAGGTGGTACAGATTGTAACGCGTACCCAGCATCAATCCAGTAATTAGTACCCAGTCCCGTGGACAACCTAGCAATTAGGAGAGGAACGTAGCACTGGGTCCTGGGAGCCGGGTGAATCCTCACGGGTGTGTCCTTCCGCCGTTAAAAGGAGTTCCGACTTCCGCCGCGTGAAACTTTACTAAAGAATTAATAGGTGGGAAGTGTAGTAGATGGTATATATAGGTACATAAGTATAGAGGCATATATCATACAGGGAAATTAAAGCAGATACAGCGTAAAGGCTGGAATAATAAAAATACAAAGGAGCCAAATTGGCCTAACGCGGAGTAACGTCGAGCGTTAACGATCTGAAAATGTAAAGGTGACATCACACCGTGGCACTAAACGCAAACCCACGCTTCTAAAATGGCCCACGTGCTTACTTGTATTTTATTCTTTTCACTTTATTTTTATTATACCTCCGTCCCTCTGTTTCTCTCTCTCTCTCTCTCTCTCTCTCTCTCTCCCATATCTCTAATCCGCTTTGAAATTCTCTCGCGTTTCTAGTCCAGCATATTTACGTGAATACGGAACAGCGATATTTCACTGACGGTTCGTTGAATTCCGTCGAAACTCGGCCACGCCCGACTGTATACCGGTTAACTCCCGTCCGCCTATATTTTCCTCGGTTTTCCCGATTCTTTTTATTCTACCGACCAGGACTTCGCGACGCGTCGCTACTCTCTCTATCTCTTTCACTTTTTTGAGATCGAAGACAATGCCAGCATTGTCCTAATAATTGGACGGAAACAGAGTGAAAATGTATTCGTGGCTCGCGTTCTGCACCTCCTCGAGAGGCTATTGTGCAAGAGTGCATCATCGGCCGACGTGCGCTGTGCAATTAAATGTCCGGCATATATACATATATACGGATACGTGTAAAAGGAGGGTTCGGAAGATTCAGGCAGAAAGTTTAGGGATTTGGAGGCATGTATGGAAGTGCATACTGCACCACTGGTACCAGCATGAGCAAAAATAACCTTAGGTTAGGAAAATTAAAGATGGCCGAGTAACCTTATGTCGAGATGACGACTCGCTGTACGAGTCTAATTAAGGCGGTTTCTCATGTGCCACTAGTTGACTTGTAATTATGATGCGACGTCACTCATGAAAATTTCGTAGTTTCTCTCTCACACACATACTGCCCCCCCCCCCCGTTTTCCCTCGTAAACCATATTCACAACACATCGTATCTTAAATAACTGCTCTGTTCTCTATACGGCGATGCCGTTCACCTCTATTTTCAGACCTGATGTATTTCTCTGTGAAACACGTCCTCTCTCCACTTCGCACTCCTTTCACCGCGCCAGCTCTGTCTCGCTCTGCCACGATTAAAATTAATATCCGGTTTCTCGTCTGGCGCGAATATTCCTATGAAACGTGCGATTTCATGGATGCCGTATTAAATCGAAAACGTGACACCTCAGAACGGGTACCTTATAGACCTAACCTGCAATTATGAACTTCAGGTTGGTACGTAGGCTGCAGACGTACGTAAGTTAGCCTATACCTACATGTTAAGAGGATCCAAAGGGATTTGAAAATTGTAAGTCACGACTGGTATATTTATTTACATTAAAGTATTATTAAATGGAATATTTCTTTTTTATAACATATACAAACTTCACATGTATAGATATATGTATTAGGGTATAGGGTATATGTAAATTGGTGACGTGGCCCTATAATTACTCTGCAGGATTATATGCACTTTTTCAAGAGTGCACTTGAGATTTCGAGTGCAGTACCAGTCGGTGATATTATTGTGTGCGATCAGGAGAGGGAGGAGCAAGAGAGAGATCTATAGGATGCAGTCGCTCGAGTGCAAGCCACTCGAGGGAACTTCTAATAACTTAATAGATAAAGGCAAACGTTATCGGGGTTCAGGATGAGTAGGAGGAGGATGCTGAGAGTAGAGAGGAGCAGACCAGACACGGGCTAGAAACTTTTCTGATTTCCTAGGAAGGAGTTTTGCTTCTTCGAACGCCATTTTTTTCTCGTTTCTCAGTTTTTTTTTTTATTTTTTTTTTTATCGATATTTTATACACCCTCTATATCGTAGTTGATATAATAACTATATCTGGATATTATGCGAAACTCGTTAACTAGTTGGATTAGGTAGGGATTTCTTAACGTAACCGGGTACGTCTCAGCTTGGATGATCTTTTCGAATGTTATTCGAATTTTGATATACTCTGCAAATGACGTAATCTTAATGTGATTTTATTCTTAAGTAATCGAAAAATATATTCAATTATCTTGGTATCTTTGTATCCGAGGGGAAGGAAAGCTTAATCATTTGTTTTTTTCACGATAGCTAGCTTTTCTTCGGCATCCCTTCAATATCCAACGGTCCAATAGCGCATGCACGCGGAGACTGATGCATTCTAGATATTTTCGAAGAATTTCATTTAAAAGTTTCGTACGAGAGTATCTCAGCGACAAGATTTCACGGATAGCATTACCAAGGTATCGACTTCCGGTTTAAAATGCCCTGTACAATCAATCTTTTGGAACACGGTGTTTTATCGTTAGATAAAATTATTTAAGAAATTAGTGTTGAAAATTCAAAAAGTACCAATCACACGAATTACTTGACACAGGGTATATTGAAAGTATACTTGGTAAACGTAGTTCGACTACTGTTGGTTAGCGTCAAGCGCCTTGCAAATTGTGGGAAATCGAGCGAAAATAAAGTACTCGACGGTTTCGCCGTTGGTGGAGTTTGAAGTTTAAAAAAAATTTATTTCGTGGTCAATTCGATAGCTGCTACAGGATTCCATTATACTTAACGAACTCACATATGCATGCGCATCGTAGGTCAGTGATAACGAATCGATTTCATTGGATCAAAGTGTATCGAGTTAGTAATTAATTCTCGGTTAATTAACGTCCTTTCCCTCCAGTGGTTTGAAAAAAAAAAAGTCGAACGAACGAAGTGACAGGTCTACCTATGATCATTATTTGGTGTGATAAAATTGGAAAAAAAAATGGCAAACTCACTGCACCCTTAGACGGGTACATAACTGGCATCCATTGGTTTAAAGTTATGAGAGGCGTCGCTGCCATATCTCGCTTGAATTTTATGTTTGCCGAGAGAGCCGCGAACCAGCTATGGCGCTGGGGGCGCGCGAGGGTGTTACGAAGTTTTAATGGCACGCAAACACGAGCGGAAACGGTCGGCCGACTGAAAGTTCCTACCGAAAAATAGAAGGCGATGGGCGGTATTATGCAACTTTCCACTTGGGAGAATAATTTTTCAAAGGTCCTCTAACTGTCTCTCTTTTTATCTCCCTCTCGCTCCCCTCATCGCCTCTCTTCAATATATATAGTTTCAACCGGGAGCGTCCCGGCGCGAACGACGCGTTAGCGATGCTCTTCTTTGTTTTACGAGAAAAAGGGTACTAAGGGTAGTATGATGAGAAGGGGGGTTGTGGGGGTTGATATTTTTTTTCCACTCTTTCTTCCTTCACTCCACACTTCCTTCTTTTCGCGAACAGACTCGATTTTATTTTCTTTTTCTTCGCGTCCCTTACCGCCATAACCACCAAAGGAAAAAAGGAATCCGACACCCGGTCCAACCGAGCGAATTTCGCTCGACGGGCCGGTGAGCCGTGTGAAATTTTACAGTGGACTTTTTTCTATTCTTTTAGGACGCCATGGCTCACGTCAAACGATACTTCTTTCTGGTGTGCCTTCTACTTGCGACGGTCCAGGTTATATTTGCCGCCAGTACCAGAGCCAGGAGTAAGAAGAAGACTAAGGATTCTAAGGAGAAGGAAGTCAATGTGTGTGATCTTGATAGGCGGAATACTCCTATGTTTTGTTATTGCGATAACAATCAGATAAGAAACGCATCTGATGTCAACTGTTGGATCTTTGACAACGTCGACGTGAATGATCCTATATGGGAACACTTTAGCTCGCAATTGTACCTCGAGAAACTTACGTTCATCATAAGACACGGGGGTACCTATGGCTCCATACCCACTACTGTACTGGGACAGATGAAGAATCTTCAGAAGATCGGTTTCCAATATGCATCCATACACGAACTCGCTTCACATGCTTTCTCGAATCTCCCAACTGTCGTCGAGATTAATCTCAGTCGGAATATGATTGTCATCCTGAGAAAATACGCTATCGAGAACATGAAGAATCTTACGGTTATCAATTTCGATGAGAATCGCATTGCTGAGATAAACAGGTTAGGATTTAATGTATTGATATGAAAATATTTTAAATATTGCAAAAAATCTTGATTAATTGTATAATTTATAATTTGATTTTTTATTTTCAGGGACGTCTTCGTGAATCTACCAAACCTGAAGCAGTTATTCCTAAACAGAAATAACGTGTCCATTTTACATGACAAAGCATTCAAGGATCTTGGATCACTACAGGAATTGGAGCTGAATGGGAATCAATTGTCTGTACTGACGACAGAGACTTTTTACGGCTTGAGAAATCTTATCAGGCTTGACCTGCGTAGCAATCTCTTATCGATGATCGGTGACAAGACCTTTTTGGAATTGCCAGAATTGCGCTCACTGGAACTTGATCAGAATCAGATCGAATACATATCTGAGAAGGCGCTGGATGGAATGAGAAATTTGAAAAAATTGTGTCTGAGTGAAAATAAATTGGTATCACTGGAACCGGATTTCCTGTCTGGGGCACCTGGTATCAATTTTCTGGATCTTCGTGAAAATGCTCTCAAGACCATGACCTTTGACAATATCAAGCCAATCGTAACCAATCTCTACAACGTGTCCAGTCATTTATATCTCGACGGTGAGTATCGGTATAAAGTCGCATTACCATACAATATCATATCCATTACGTAATCTATAAAGTATGGAAGATACCCAATACGTAACGCTTTTTAATTAAATTAATGAATTTAGAATATCTGTTAATCGTCATACGACGATATGGTTATACTTTCTCGTTATTCCCACGTGGAACGTGATGCCTTGGCGTCTCTTGAAAGACGCATTAAAGCTAGGCGTCGGGACGCCCCCGTGTCTCTCACCTTGAGCATTCAGAGGCTCCGGCTTCAATTTATTAATTTAACCTCGTACATTAACGCCACCCTGTGGAATTCTGCGGGAAGGGGTTTCGTCAAGGGATGCTCGAGACTGGAGGTTCATATACACCGTTCGTGATATCGGCCGATAAGAAGCGACAAAATTAGAGATAAAAAGAGAAGAAAAAAGAAGAAATAACAAACAGCGCCTAAGGCTCGAATTGACACGCGCCTCTTTTTTCATAACAAAATCCATATGAATGGGACATATATGCAGTCACGTGCGGGTGGGCCACACGTCTTGTTAGGGACCCCCTGTCGGCGTGATCCTTGCGTGCGCCAATGCAGTTCCCAATGCACTTTAAGCTAGTCCATATATACACACATATATATATGTAGAGAGAGAGAGAGAGAAAATTCCATACTGTGTACATAGGACACAGCCTATAGGGATTTAAAGAAAGAACTCGTGTCTGAGAGGAAAAATATATATAGGGTCATTCAGGATGATCTTAACGAGTAGCAATACCATTCCATGCTACTCTCTTACAGCAAAGGTTGGGTTAGGCACTCATGGTGTGTTGGTATCACCATAGACTAGCACCATAGAGACATAAACTAGCTTAGATGATCCCATATAAGATATCTAGTTATAGGATACATTATGCCTACTAGTACCTGTATGGCTATATGGTATAGTCACTAGGAAATATACCGGGTGTTCGAGTCGAGATGAATTTGCTGTGGTATACAGAATCCTATAGAATATTCCTATAACTGGACTATATGCTTCTCTCCATTGCGCAATGGAAGTCCTTTATGCGGATCGGACAGGATAAATAGGATTGGATCAGGCTGGAAGCTGCGTTCGTATGATTTACACCCTATTGGGGATTTGCAACGGGATATAATACAGAACTGCAGGCAAGAGCCGCGAGAGAAGTGGGGGGAACTTTTGAAAACCTTTATCATTCTCAATTCAGGAAATATTATTCTCAAATAAATCTCGAGTCCGGTATGTATAAGCAGCTCCGAATATAGATGGAACTTATGGATGAATATTCTAGGCTTGATCTATTCTTTTCTATCGTTCCTTCTGCCTCTGCTCTCAGCGCGCGATAACACTCGCCATCTTAGTATTTGCCGTGCTCTCAGGGATTAATTAACGCTCGGCAAACAAATGAAAATAAATTTCTCAAACCTCATTCACTGTAAATAACAGCCCGCGGTATTTACCAAGAGTCTTCTACCGCGAGAAAGAAGATAAAGAAAAGAGTGTGAATCTTGATTGAAAAGGCTATAAGAATTGTCTCAATTTACACCCAGTAAGCCTCAGCAATCTTTCCGATTGAACGTATGAAAACGCATTTAAGAGAAATATCGTTTCCCTCTCGACTCTCAAGACTCGAATGCAAAAGCAATGTTCCCACGACGTTTGACGCGTTAGGGACGTGAAACTGATCGACACGGACGCCATGTGGCGTTCGAGCATTTTCATTGTGCGTACGGGGTGAGCCGTAAAACAATACGGATCGGCTTTTAATAAATGGGACGGATTACGTCACAGAGACGCGGCGCGAGCGTGAGCGAGTAAGAGAGAGGGCTGGCATACGCGTATCGTACAGGGAGAAAGAGACGGAAGGCAGACTGGGGAGAGGAGAACGATGGTTCGCAAGCAATGAAGTAGACAAGCACACATATATTCGTGTTTGAAACTCAGTGCCGAGTCGCCGTGAAAAAAAAAAAGGAAGCATCTGCCCCTCCGATCCCGCTCGTTTTTCCGGATTAGAATCTGACCTTCCTAATCGCTTTAAACCTCCACCTAATTTATTCCCGGCACGAATTCTAACTCCGCATCTCGTGGCAGGGATGTAGATCTGCAGGAGCTGTCCCTGGCGCACCCTCCCGACCCCTATTGCCATATCGACGCTACGCTCTGGGTTTGCCCTGCTCAATCGATAACAGTCCCACGATCTATTTATTGGATCGTGCATTCCTCAAACAGTCAGGCTGATAGGCACAGAGGGCTGAGAGGTACAGAACCACAGATGGATGGACGGATGGCTGTAAGGGTAGAGGGATGAAAGGGGTAGGTAGGATAGGAGGAGGAAGAAGGAAGGGACGAGAGGGTAGTTGTGCAAGGAGCCATCGTAAAATTGATGCCTCGTAAGGCAATAGTCGGGTGGTTTCGCGACCGCCGAAGGGGGTGAACCCCCTACCCTTGTTCGGGTAGGGGTTGGTTTTAGGGCTGAGGTTCGTCTACGACTTTCCGAGACTCTACAGGCAGCCGGTCTACAGGGTAAACAAACGGGCGATACGTGCGTGCGCGCACACGTGCCTATGGTAATGTATGTGCATCCCTCTGCCCCTTATCTCATCCACCCCTCTTACCTCTTCCATATGTCTACTTCGTGTGTGCGATGTATGTATATGGAATCTTGGGGGCCACAATGCCTCGTTTGATTCGGTATTCGCTAAGGGTAGGTCCGGTTCGGATCTGACGAACCCCTTTCACCACGTTCACTTTCCATATTTTTTTTTGTTATACTTCCCTTCGTAAATATATGTACGTCTGTTAGTATGTCTGGACTGGCTAGGATGTTTTGACGTAATCCCATAACGCGTATTATGCCCGAGTAAACGCTCGCCCTTGGACGAGGGGTCGCAATGAGATGGGGTAGCTACCCTTTAATTGCTTAAAGGTTAGTCTCTGCCGGTGAGAAAGAAACGGTACAGTCCATTTGGAAATTCGGTAGCGGTCGCGTGATATAGAAAATAGTTATATTTATAAATCAAGACTGTAGGCAGTGAATTTTGCTATATTCACACAAAATTCGTGAAGAGTGATACGTGCAGATAGTAGCGTATAACGGGACGTTTCTAGCGCGTACGTTAATTAGTGAACTTTTTTTTTCATTAGTTTTCACAAAAAATACGAGTCGTTAATGTCCTCTTTTTAATTTTATTTCCATACCTTCCCGCCATTCAACGTTACCAATAACTCATAATCACGTGCTGCATTTCAATGGGTAAAAACGAGGCTCTTCGGAATCGAGATGTCACACAGGAAATTACGTGACTCGTAGCAAGAAATTTCCTTACGGTAATTGCAAATTGACTAAATCTCACAGTGATACAAGAAACGATACTCGCGATAAGAATCTCGCACATTCCGAGCCCCGTATATATTTCGATCCTACCAAAACATCATCGAACCGTTTGTATTACATATATTATACATAGCACTCAGCCCAAGCGTACCAGCTGAACATGGTTTTACCATAAGAATCGAATAAGCACCAATTTCAGGTGGTATGTTTCAGGTTAAGCAACCCGGTATACAGTGCTTGGATGAACCGTAGTTTAGTTCCCACTAGCGTAGATACTAAGCCAACGTAATCCTGCATGCACTCTACGGCTACAAGTTCGAAAGTCAAGATGGACGCATCCGCGAGGACTGACGCCCAAGAGAATTTGTCGATTGTCCGAGTTAGTTATTTCATACGGTCAGCACGAAAATTCCCGAGGTGCCTTGGCAATCTGGTAAATAGCTCGTCGGTATTTAACCGTCGGAAATTCCGTTATCGCAGCACACGAAGTTCGGCTGTCAAGTGGTGGACAGGTGAGTGGACGAGTAAGTGCAGAGGGTGCCGACGCGTGGCGCTGGTTACACCGGAAATTTCGGGCTTGCGAGAATTCCGGCCCAGCCCGGCCGTTTGTTGAGGGTGCGCCGTGTACCAGGGCCGGGAATTCAATTTGACGGTTCCATCCGTCTTTGCCGGTGAGAGCGTTTGCCGTCAAGCCTTTGTGCTTACAGCGAGTACCCTACGACCTGCTACTATGTGTAAACGTTTATTAATGCACATAAATCACATAGATACTTGATATAATAACCCCCCGCAGTAGGACGCACTTGGCTTATGGTACTTATCGGCCTTCCCCACCCTAACCTCGTACACTCTTCTCGTTTATTCTAATACTACACATTCTATGCAGATGACTGTACTTTACATATAGATTCTATTGTCGTGTGTATTACACGTGTCGAAGCAACATCAGTTACACTTGCGACGTCTGCTTCAATCTCTGCGGCCCTGTTTCCGAGACGGAGGACTCCTGCGGTAGAAACCGGGTATCTATGTGTTTCAATATGTCTACTTCGCTCAAGTATATAGGGGGATATATAAGCAGCTACATACTTTTAATAGTCAAGTAACGTTGAGTCTGTATTAAATGTAAAAACATAACAGGGTACTTTATTTGAGTATAGTACATGTCTACCTATACTGTATTGAGCAGCAAGGGGTTGGTTTGCGGACAGGGATAAAAATATATCGGATAACTCGAGGACGGAGGGGTTGTTTCTCTTGACTTTTCATTAATTTTTATCACAATTTTTTCAGGGACTCCTACCGGGTAAGCGTCTCTTTTTTTTCCCTTCGGTAGCGTCGCGGCGCAAACGCTTCGAGGGGTGGGTGAGCAGGAGCGAATAAAGGCACCCTCGGTTTTGGTTTTGGCGCGAAAGGTAGATGCTCACCGTCGTAGTTGGCGATGATCATAGTGTCTATATATATATATATATATACATATATACACTATGCAACATATATCTGTGTACAGTAAGGGGATGAGTAGAACAAGGGTAGATGGAATATGAGAGAGAGAGGAGAGAGATAGAGGATTTCGCGGATGCCACGTCTATTCCGTGAGCCGCGCAAGGCAATAATTCTATGATTATTTCATAAGGGCTACCATTTTGAATATG